TCATTAATAATGAAAAAATTCCTTTGAATTTACATTGTTGTGACCAAACAATCAAAGGCTTCTTTAACGATTCTTCTTGCAAATAAATTATTATGTAGACACTTTATATTGTATACAAACCTAATTTCAAGCATTTAAACATACGCCATTTTTTTTGACTGGTGATGGATAGGTTGCATACTTAGCCTTTCAGATGGATGACATGAGATATTGTTGCTGATTAAAAGTGGAGCGCACAGTGATTTGGTGGTGATGTTATAGCCAGAAGCCATATGGGAGAAAGGATCAGGCATTTCTGCTGTAGTGAGTTTATGATGTATATCAGATGCTGTGTACCATAACACAACACTGATGTCTCCTCAACAACTGAAATATAGACTGGGTGGTGGATGTGGGTTCAAACCATTATAAAAACCTGAGGTATCAGTGACACCTTGAGAAATCATATAGTTTTTAGTGAATGCAGTGAAGTGATTAGTTAAATTAATGTTCTAGCGATTATATTACCAAGCATTTTAGATTTTTTACTACTTATTTTGTGTTGTCATTCTCTTTTGAGGAGATGCTTCACATACTACATTATAACATCTTATACTTTTGCTTTATGGCCTAATGGATGTTTTTACACTTGGTTTCTTTAAAGAAATAGGGGGACTCTTGCCAGTATGAATTAAATGAAACCAATCCATCATAGTGGTCCAGCATTTGTAAATGCAGTGACGTTTATGAGTGTGTTTTTGATGCCAATTTTCCCCAGAATTGTTTTCTGTAGAAAGTTTATGAGTACTTGCCAGTAAGGGGTTGTAAAGACTGTATTTACACCAGTTCACCAGTATTTACAGTTATTGCTTCATATTAAGATGAGTAACATTTTAGTTCATTCATTTTCTAAGATGGTCAACCAGCTGATTGCTTTTCATTACTGAGTTTGTTAAAACGACAAACACAAGGGTTGCACACATCTCTGTTGGGACAGATTTAAAGTGATTAAGACCTTGTCCTCCAGCTGTGCCTCTAAAATACTCTGGCTCTATGATATGCCCGTAATCCTGTTAACGTCAGATTAACACCACAGCCATGTTCCCCTGTGCAGGGATGCAAAACCGCTCCGTCCCACTCCAATACTCTGCACTAATCTGCCAAAATGAGTTTTTTTTTTTTTTTTTTTTGGTCACATCTGCTTTAATGTGCTGTACTTTAGCTGTTTGACAGATGGTAGAATACTATCTTTTAAAAAATTATTATTATGATTATTATTAATAAAAATTATAATTTTATTTGTAATAAAGTAATGTTGATACAAATAAACATAAATAAAAATATAATATTAATAATAATAATGCATCAATTTTATTTGTGATTATAACAATTTCATGCAAACACGTTTGTTTATTAATGAAAACTATTATTGTTATTGTTGCTATCATTATTATTATATTAAATCAATAAAAATATTTATGCATTTTATTATTTTACCTGAAATGTTTACATTTAATCAAAGTGCCAACTGAAGCTAGTCTAATTATATAGGGCCGATTAGTTGTTTTGGCAACCCACTGACTATTTTATTTTGAGAATATGTACAATATATACTGACTGCTTATGAACAATGTACAACATAACTTTTCCTTATACCCTCAACTGCACGTTTAATCTAATTACTTTCATAGCACAGGCTACGTTGGAAATGACTAATGATTTCACATCAAGCCGCCCTCACAGTCAGCTGCATTAACCTTCTGAACTCTCAGTGACTGAGAGGCTTTGTAAGGCGACTCACAAGTGATTTATAGAGATTATAACCACTGGAAGCTGAAAACTTTAAATGTATGTGGTGTAAAGTGTATTGCCACTGAGAAGGGATAGATTCTCCAAGATAGGCCTGCATTTTTCCAGTCCCTCGAGGAGACAAATGACATATTTTAGATTTTAGGAAAACGTAAATTTACAGGCCGTCACGGCTGCGTTTCCTCCTCAAGGTCCACAGATAAAACTCATAACTCAGCCTCATTACTGTTATTCAAAACAACCAGTTTTCTCAGGCATTGTTTATATTTGGGTCAAATAAGGAATGGTAAGTGGAGACGTAGAGCTTCGCTATAAAACTTAAATATTTTGGAGACACTCAAGTGGACAGTGTCACAGCTGTCTACCGATGAGCATCTTGGGTTATATAAAGTTGATTGGACCACACAAAATATAAACACACAGGGGTACGTTTGTTTGTCTGTCTACATCACTGCTTCTGAGTGTGTTTGTAATAGTTTTTAGAGCAGTACATGGTATTTGCTAATACCTTCAGCCATGACCTCAGAGTAAAGCTGCTTATAATGGACCACGCAATATTCACAGTAATCTGATTTGCCGTGGCCCAATTAGAACAAGATTACCTCATAATCAAATATGCATGACATAAGCACCTACATAAATCCAGATAAGTGTTAATAATGTACACATGTTTGCAAACACTCTGGTCCATTTCTAAAACTTTCAGGATCTACTGTCTAGAAATGCACAAAGGGCTACGGAGATTCATCTAATGTAGTGTAATCTAATATAATTTAGACTTTTAATATAATTACGGCTTTTTATTGTTAAAGCAAGAAGATTTATTTTATTTATTTAATTTGTTTGTTATGTTTTATATATTATAGAAGTGTATATATCATGTATTTTTTATTGTATTTTCTTTATTTGGCACTTGAATAGACTCAATAGAATGTCAATACAATAACGAAAATGCCAATATGTGAAGTAACGTTTGTGATATGTGGCGTCTGATGGTGTGTGATGATCAGGGTACTAAACCGTCACCTCACTGCAGGGTTCATACATAGCGTGATGGAGGCTGTCGATCTCTTCACTTTCCCAGCATTGTGTTTCCTGAGTCGAAAACAAGTGCAGGCTTTCTCATGGAGTCACAGAGAGCTCTATAGACAGAGATATGGGTCACAGGAAACTGCACCACTTGTAATGAAGGCTTGATGTATTAACTACCACTGAAATACAAACTGAAAAAAGTACTATTCTTTCGTTCTCTTTTTTTTGGGTGGGGGGGTATTTATTTTTTTAAGATGTATTTTTGTTGAATGTTTATTGAATTCCATATCACTGCCTTCTAGCTACTGTAAGATCTCCCCTCTGACTTTCTTTTGTTTTATTTTATTTCAAGGATATATAGAGTCTCGTTCGCCTCACTTTTCATTCTTTTGTACTCTGAGATAAAATAAATGTGCCCGTGTTCATTCCCCTGTGGCCTTGGCTTTCAATCTCGCCCTTTGGAGATCATTTTAATTTAAATATTCAAATCAGCTCCACTCCCACTCCATTGCCAATCACAAATGAAAAAAATACATTAAACTGGTGCATACATTAAGAAAGCACATACAGTAGGTACGGAAAGTATTCAGACCCCCTTCAATTTTTCACTCTACTGTCTGTTGTACTAGTTGTACTAGTGATGGCTTTATTTAAAACACTGTTAAATACAATCAGACAGCGCTGTTATTATTTACAGTCCTTATTACAGAAAAGCTGTATTAGGATGCCATTAGGATGTATTAATGTATAATATTAATTTTATATATACAGTGTGTGTGTGTATATATATATATATATATATATATATATATATATAATTTACATACATGCATACATATATACACACACACACACACACACACACGTACGTGTGCATGTATTGTGCATGTATAAATTGTTTTTTTATTTTATTTATTACTCTTGGAATCCAAGTGATGTTTTGTAAGGTCCACTCAATTGGCCCAGTGAAGGTATCCAATGGTGGCTGAAGGTTTTCGGTGTGCAAAGTAATTTAATTTAATATAAATTCTAATCGGACTCCATTTTATTATGACCTTGAATTTAGATTGAAATGCAAATTGGTCATTTCTAATTCTTCTTCTGACATTTGATTATTCTAGTTAACTCTTTATATTTGCGCGTTCATTAGGAATCTATGTCGCTCAGAGTGTCTCACATCGGCCAATTTACGCGGACCTCACGATCACAAACTCTGAGGTTGTGACTGCTATTTAATAGACCGATTCATGCTTGTCATTCTTTAACGTGAACAAGTGCATTGTTCTGTTTAGCCCCCTACAGTCACCTATGTAACAACTTAGTGAAAGTTCAAACAATAATCAGAAGTTATGGCTAGCACTATGAATTATGCCGCCCAATGCTTGCTAATACTTCAATAGTATTTTTATCTAGCCCCCGATAGTTAATCTAACCATATAACAACTTGAATAAAGCTGTGACACAATAACAAGAGGTTATGGCTAGTACTATGAAGTATGCCAAACCATGCTTGCTTAGTACCCAATAGTATTTTGTCTAGCCACCCATAGTTAATGCAACTGCATAACAACTTAACTAAAGTCAAGCAGTTAGCCAGAAATCTAGAATCTCACCTGATTTAAATAATGCCAAACATGACTGTGAATATCACTTGCATTCATGTAGAACATTATATTATGCTATTGACCATTCTGAGTGAGCTGAGTGAAGGGAAGGATGGGTTAGGGGAAGAAAAGGAACAAATGTGAGAAAGGAGTTTTCCCGCATCTTCTCTCAATGAGATGTGGAAACAGATGTCTGTATGTTAATACACTGCTTGTATTGTCCGTATCTCAGAAGATCTTCAAGTCTTACAGTTTAAATAAAATATTAGAAGAAGCCTTTCATGTTACTGTTTATGAAGAATGTGTGTTAAGCACATTAATTGGGTGAGATTGTGTCTTTAAAATGCTAAGATTATATTTGATGCTGGATATAATGGCATCCTCCAATAATTATTGTCAAAACTAGGACTGTCAATCAATTAAAAATCGTCAATGAATAAATTTAGTTTATAAACAAAGAAATGTCATTTAGTGCCACTTTTAGTGTTAATGTTTTTTCTAAATGTTTTTTTCATGCAATATGGCACTCATTTATTATGCTACGTCTTTTTTCTTTTCGCTTTCCATCTTCTTTAGCCGAGCAATCAAAACCAACCAAGACCTCCTACCGGACACTCCATGGACGAACATTCTGTACGATGACTTCTGGGGCACTCTGCTCACCCACAGCGGCAGCCACAAGTCTTTCCGCCCCCTCTGCACCCTCTCTTTCCGCCTCAACTATGCCCTGGGCAGCTTGGACCCCTGGGGCTACCACCTGGTCAACGTGGGCCTGCACTGCTGCGTCACTGCACTCTTCACTGCATTCTGTCACCCCCTGCTGGGTGGAGGACCATGGACCCTATTGGCGGGTCTGCTCTTCGCCTCTCATCCCATACACACTGAAGCAGTAGCTGGGGTGGTGGGACGAGCAGATGTGGGTGCAGCTTTTTGCTTCTTGTTGTCCTTGATCTCTTATGCCCAGTACTGCCTTCTGAGGGCCAACGCAGTGCACTCGAGCGGGGTTGTATGGCGGAAAGTGCTGTGGCTGTCTGGGAGTTTGGGTGCTACTGCGGCTGCCTTGCTATGGAAGGAGCAGGGAGTGACTGTTCTGGCCATGTCAGCCATTTATGACCTCTGTGTTGTGCATCGTCTGAGACTCCAGCAAGCGGTAATGATGGTGCTGAAGGTGAGAACTGATTCTCATTGTGTGAATCTGCCTGAAGTCCAAGCAAAAATGCAACAGGGGCTCTGAGGTGGTACAAAACCAGGTCTTGAAACTTATAATACAAAATAGTTTTGTAAGTATATTGATATATATATCCAGAGTCTAGATTAAAGTGTAGTTCAGCTTAAATCTTGAATGCTAGAAACTCAAAGTTCCTACTCATCTTGGAAAACATATTTTTGTAATGTAAGAAAATTACAGAGATTGGTCTTTAGTGTTATGTTATAATAAAACTGTAAAGTACAGACCCTGTAGGCTGTGCATTTCCAAAAAAGTTAAATCAGTGTGACTCATGGTTAACTAAAGCTATTCATTTTTTTTGTTAATTGAAATAGAATATAATGTAAAAATAGAGATTTAAAAATATAATTGAAAATTAGAAATGTTTCCTTGGAAAATAACTAAAATAAGTTTAAGGGTGGGGTCGTCATGTGACACAGCAGCCACAATAGCACTTATGTTCTTATGTTGTTGTTTTTTTTTTTGTTTTTTTTTATTCAAAACATTCCCAAACGCATTAACTATATCATGAAATATCTTGATTCTCACCTATGTTAGTTGATCTATAGTGGGCGATGGTCAAAGTAGCCTAATAATGTAATCTATTAAAGGGTTAGTTCACCCAAAAATGAAAATTAGGCTGCGTTTTACTCACCCCCAAAGCATCCTAGGTGTATATGACTTTCTTCTTTCAGACAAATCCAGTCTGCGTTATATTAAAAATTGTCTTTGATCTTTCAAGCTCTATCATTGCAGTCAGCGGGTGTTGCATTGCTTCAGTCCAAAAGAAGTTAAATAAAAAGAGCCCATGTATTAAAAAAAAGTGTCCCACACGGCTCCGGGGGGTGAACAAAGGCCTCCTGTAGCGAATCGATGCGTTTCTGTAAGAAAAATATCCATATTCAAAACGTACACGTGAACGTGGGAATTATCACACTTAAACTCATGATCTGTTCTGTATAATATACAAAGCTATCTTTAAATGTTCCTTTTTATCCATATTATGATAAATGGGAATTATTTTTGCAGCTCTCCTTCACCCGTTTCCAGACAATAATACAAGGGTAATCTTACCAGCCCAGACTCTGTGCACAGATGCCAACCCCACAGCACATCTGGGCTCTTTATCATGGCCTCTCTGCCCATGTCTCCGGCTTTTCTTGCTGGTAATCATGAGGTGCACAAGAGGGGCGACAGGGAGAGATTACAAATCCTCCAGACGGCCACGAGCGCATGGGAATGCAAACAGAGGGAGAAAAAGGAGGATGAGGAGGAAGAGTAGAGCGGAAAGGAAACCATGCCCTCACTTCCTCTCTTTCTCTTTATCAAAGCACTTTCACGTTTACTCTTAGTCCCATGGTGTAAAATCGGCTCATTGGCTTTCAGTGTTTCAGAGGGGCCTCATTAAATGCAGAAGGAACGGTCAACAATAAAAGATCCCACAGGATCTTCTGAAATGGTTTTTGAACAGCGAGGTTCTGACTTTGAATATTTAATGCCACACGTCTTAGACTTTAAATTCACGTGGTAATGAATGCGTATCAGGGTAATGAAAACAGATAGGGCGCCCTTATTGATATTCCAGAGGCTACAAACGCCCCTGATATATGATATTGCTTTGATTTGAGCAGAATGCGGTGTGAGTCTAAAACAATAAGCTGTAGATTAGTTTTGAGGTTCGCCCGTATGAGCGCACAATGCAGATAGAGGGCAGTTTTTCATCCCATTTGCTCTCTAATAGGACTGAGATGAGATAAAGCTCGGGTGATTGTCTGGAATGCATTCTACCTTTTTTCTGCATAGCACATGGCTGCTGGTTTAGCGCAGGATCTCCACACCACCAGCCAACCTGTCTTATTCCAGAAAAATGAGAAAATGCTAATTTTATTATTGAACTTTTAAGTGGGAAAATGCGAAAAGTTGAAAGACTGATTAGTGAGGTAAATGAATCTTTCAAGCTTCCCGAGAAATGCTTCAGAGTCTCTTTTAAGGTAATTCAACGATGACATTATTGATGACACAATATTTTGCCTCATTTGTCTCAATGTTGTGCGTGTGGGAAGATTTGCTCATAACAGTCAACAATTTGATTAATGTGACTGCATGTTTGCTGTGACAGGAAATTCAGCTGTGAAATGATGCCGTGGATCTCACATTTTCATGAATACAGTTCATTTCTGGTGTGTAATGACTTTTAGATGCATGATCTGTCTGAGGTGATATATATATTGATGTTATTTAGACTGTAGTAGCTCTACTGTTGATGATGCTCCTACCTTTTTCTTGATGTTAAAAACTGAAAGATCCTGATTGAATTTGGGCGGTGTCCCAATGGAGAAGGCTGTAAACCCACAACCTTTCTCATTATGAGTGGTGTGATTAGCAGCAGCTAAAACAAGCACTTCCTTTGTCCTCTGCAGCGTAGTGAGTTCAGTTCATCAACGTCCTCCTCCAACGCCCTGACTATTTCTGTCTGGATTTTGCATTAAATACAGATCTTATTTGTTGTGTTTTATGCATTCTTTTTATTTTAGTTACTAAGTTGAAACACTGCTTCATGCAGAAACTTTATAAGCGGAGAAGAATATTTTCCTGCAGGACAATTGCTGTTTGTCTGGTGATTGTCCTTCACATCTCCGTTTATAAGGTCTTTATGGCATCTCCAATCTAAGATTGATTTTACAGTTTAGTACAAAAGAGCGGGAACAAAAACAGGTGATGAAATAGTGCTCATTCAGTTCAATTCAGTGTCATACTCAGTGGGAGCAGAGGATCTATCGTGGCTTTAGTCCATAAGTTTCTGACCCGTTGTGTGTGAAATAAAGAAATCGATATTTGTGGCATCTAATTTCCCCAGTCTTTGAGCTCGACTTCCCCAATGTGCACTCAGTCAACTGATGTTCTGTGCTCAGAGGCAATTATACAAGAAAATATTTTTCAATTTTACACTCAAAGGACTGTTCAATATGCAGTATATAGTATAAATGCAAAGGGGTGTTTTTCTTCTTTTAATGCGCCATGAGTTTTCTTTTTTTCTTTTAACTTTTTGTTATATGAGCGTCGCATTAAGCAGTCTTAGGATTTTTTTTGTTTTTTAACCAAGTCATTTATTTTTGCTACTTTTAAGACTTTTTATGTGTACATGCTTGTCCCGTACCCAAACTTTCGATCTGAAATATGAAAATCCTATTCCTTACTATCATTTAAATATGATTTATGTATTTAAAAACAAATAGTGACATAAAAATAAAACAATTTCAGTATTTATGTGAAAATTGTCAGAGTATTTTCACCACTCAAAAATACTTTTTTCGAAGGCTAGTGTTCTTGTTTACCAAAGCAACAACAGTGTCAGCCATTTAATTCTGTGTTAAAATCTTAATGTCATTTCCACCATTGTTTTCTCCATCTATAAATGCTATTAAACACAATGCATTGTGCGAGATGTGGTGAAATTTATATTGTGGTGGTATACTGTTATGAGATATGTCCACTTTTGATTGTTGTTAGTGGACAAATGAAAATGAGTGTTTTAAGAGAATGCATTGACAGATACATTTCATTCTCGTCATTTCTAGAGGAAGAACATGAGCTTGCTGGTCAGTCTAGCATGGCTGGTTGGTTTTGGAATGATTCTGCTAGCAGCTCGGTTTTACTGGATGGGCAACAAGCCTCCGAACTTCTCCAACTCGGACAACCCTGCAGCCGACTCACCTCATCTCCTGACCAGAGTGCTCACGTTCCTATACCTGCCAGCTGTCAATGCCTGGCTCCTCCTCTGCCCTGACAAACTCAGCTTCGATTGGTCAATGGATGCCATTCCTCTGCTTAGATCCATCGCTGATTGGCGGAATCTTCAGTCGGTTTTGTTTTACTCAGGATTCTCTCTCCTGTCATGGTTTGGCTTGAGAAACCCATCGCTACAGTCCTCTAAAATTAGCGAAACCAATGGAAAATCACATATGAGCAATGGAAAGCCTGCAACTAATGGATACAGTCATAATCATGATGACAATCACTACAGGGACTCAAACTCTCCCAAAAGAAATGGATATCATAAACCTCTCAGAGCCCCACAAAAATCTCTCCCAGCCACAGAGAGTGTGGTGGTCTTATCCCTTGGGCTGCTAGTTTTGCCCTTCATCCCAGCCACTAATATGTTCTTCTACGTGGGCTTTGTGTTGGCCGAGCGGGTGCTGTACATCCCCAGTATGGGCTTCTGTCTGCTCGTGACCATCGGGTTAAGGAGCATGTTCATACGCTGCAGGTCGCGACGCTCCAGAGTGTCTGATACTTTAATGTCTACTTTTTGTTTGATTTGATTTGATTTAATTCGATTTGATTTAATTTGACCAGAAATAAGCAAACAAAGTATATTGCATGGTTGACTGCACCGCTCTCTTTCTTGCTGTATTCACAGGACAGTATTTTGGGAGTGTTGGTTTTGTCAAGGTCATGCAGCTCTTTATCTGAGCCAGTTTTCCTTGGGAACTGACGTAATCCATTTAACGTGACTTGCAGGGCAGCAGACATCAACAGATGTACACAATATGGAAATGTGCCATAATATTGTTGATTACTCTAGTGCATTTAATTTTTATAAAGGTGGCCCCAAAATGGTAAACAAAAGTTAAAACATTTTGTAGGGGTAGAGTCATACTTAGCATTCAGAAAACGAGAGTGGGAGTTTGAGGAGCAGTGGAGGTGTTTGCTATATCTGTCGCTCAGGGCTTGTGTATGTGACGGGGATTTCATTAGTTCTTATTTGCAGGCTTTAAAAAGCGTGAGACCCCTCTAACACTCATTAACCCTGGAGAGGAGCAGAGACCTCAATGTTTCATCACATTCTGGTACTCGCACAAACCTCTTACTTCACATATCACTTCTCAAGTTTAAAAGCAATGTGTGCTTTATTTCATGCAGTGGTTTGCTGCTGCAGGAGAGGGAGCGATTCTCTGAGGCTCTGCATTACTATAAACTGGCCATCGGGAGCAGACCGACTCTGGCCTGTGAGTTCAGCTCTTCAGTTTCACCATTTTGACCCTCCAAAGAGTCTGTTACTGGAATAAATGTCTGTTTTGGACTTTCATTTGTACAAGTATGTGAGGTTTTGGATAATTCAGTCTCTTTTTTTTTTTTTATTAGTTCTCCCTTTTGTCCTCTTTCACAGCTGCATACTTGAACGTGGGCATCATCCTGGTCTCCCAGGGGAATGTCGAAGAGGCCAAGCGCACCTTTCACACTTGTGCTGACATCCCTGATGAGAACCTGAAGGACCCTCATGCCCATAAGAGCTCCGTCACCAGTTGCTTGTACAACCTCGGCAAGCTGCTTCATGAGCAGGGCCAGCACGAGGTATTCATCAAAATCTGCAAGTACAACCAGTATTGATGCATGCAATGATGTTATTGGATGAATTGTTCCCTGGTTGTTCATAATTATCAGTTCTCATTGTCTCATTATGACAGGTTGTTTTTGTTTGTCATCCTCAGGAGGCACTGTCCATGTATAAAGAGTCTGTGCAAAAAATGCCACGACAGTTTGCACCGCAGAGTTTGTACAATATGATGGGTCAGTGTTTATCTCTGTGCATTCAGATGTTTTTATTTAAGATGAAAAAACACTTGCATAACACTCTAAATAAATTCTATGATAAACTAACTTAATTTAATTAATTTAGAGTTATGTGCTCATCTTCATGGATTTTTTCCACAGAGGAATTTTAATATATTAAATTTAGATTATTTTATATTCTTATATTTAATTTATTTATAGTTAATATGAAATATAATATATATAATATAATTAAATTGTATTAAATATATATTAAATTTATAAATGCTCATTCACAAATCTTTGACAACTTGAAGTAAAAAAAAAAAAAAAAAACAGTATTATGACTTATCACATTTTTCCTAGAATTTCAAACCAACCAAACGAAACGAATATGCTCTGTTTAATGTGTTCTTCAACCCCCATATGTGTTAAGAAAATATATTTATATATCTTTTTATACTGTATTTATACCATCTCCGATTATTTTTTTTCCTTTGCAGTTTATGCCGCAATATTCCTCCTCTCTTTCTGTTAGGATGAAAAAAGACATCTGGAGATGTGACTGGAATCTGATACATAAATAATGTGTCCTTGTGTTACTGATTCAGTGTCCAGAGATGTGATGAGCTTACATTTATCCATTTGGCAGACGCTTTTATCCAGAGTAACTTTAGAGTCCATTCAAGTGTACATTTTATATTATGCGTTTCTTAGGGAGTAAAGAAAAAGAGCTTGGTATTGGAATTTTAACTTGTAGTCTTTGGCAAGCTCAGTTGCTTAGAGTCACATGTTCTTCTTTGTGCCTGAGTCAAATTCAGTTACATTGTATGATTGCAAACATATTGCTCGAAAATATTTTATGTCTGCCCATCAAAAGGTCTTCCATAACTCCTCAAACTCATCCCATGACATCTGCATTAGATTTGTTGGCATGAAGTGCAGGGAATTCTAGGTAATTTTACACGTCTCTCTGACTTTGGCCCACAGGTGAGGCATATATGAGACTGAGTAATCTAGAGGAGGCAGGGCACTGGTACAGAGAATCTCTGAAGGCCAAACCTGACCATATTCCTGCCCACCTGACCTATGGAAAACTGCTGTCTATCATAGTGAGTCAAACTGTCAAGTGCATTATTACCCCTTTGTGTTTGTGAGCTTTTCTTCTGTCAAAGAAAATTGGGGATAATTTCAACGGTCATTGTGAATATCATGTGGAAGATAAAACAAAATATACAGTGGTGCCTGAAAGTCTGAGACAGCATTGAAAATCTGCAATTATAAAAAAAAAAAAAGAAAAAAATATTTAAACCACAAAAAAACTTATTTATTTTGTTTACTTGCAATTAAAATTGCAATGTGTAAGCCCAGGGGCTAATGAACTATATTACAAGGTAGAATAATTGTTTATTATTATTATTATTATTTATTGTTATTATTATAGGTTTATATTCATGTTTAGGTAAAATAGAAGCATTTTTACTAGTGGTCTCAGGCTTTTTTCTGCTGTATTTTAACACACTGTGGCTGCTATTAAATTTTCAGTATGAATGTGAAATCTTGAAGCTAAATGGATTTATGAAAGCTTAATTAAATATTAAATAATTCGGTTATCATTTCAAACTATGAAAAGGGGAGACCAAGTGGAAAGAAGACTCCAAAGATATCTGGTTATTAAAATCTTTTGAGCCACAGATGACCCTTCATGAGACTGTTAGTGCTGAGGTTTCTTTTAATCGCTTTGTCCTTGAGAGGAACATTGACACACAAACGTCTCTCAGACACCAACATCACCGTGATGATACCTTTAAAACCTGTCTTTTCAAATTTCCACATTTATATTCCACCCCTTTCACTACCCTGTCTCTGTCTGCATACGATATAACCGTTGCCGAGTCGCTTATGATATTTTCCTCTCTGACCACTATGATGTAAATGGAGAGAGGTGATGAAGAAAGGTCGAGCAGCTGTGTCTCTCCAGGACGTGATATCTCATATCCTCCCTCTAATCTGATCTGGGTTTGTGTCTGAGCACGGCTGGTCAAGAGTCCAGACTGTTTGCTCACTTTAAGTGACAAGTGAATGAGTGACGTGACATGTGGCCAAGTATGGTGACCCATACTGGGAATTAGTGCTCTGCATTTACCCATCCAAAGTGCACACACACAGCAGTGAACACACACAAACCGTGAACACACACCCAGAGCGCTGTACATTCACTCCCCCCACCTACAATCCCTGCCGGTACGAGACTTGAACCCACAACCTTTGGGTTATGAGTCCGACTCTCTAACCATAAGGCCACGACTTCCCCCTCACTGGGCTGAGGGGGAAGTCAGACAGGCCCCCTCACCGGCCTGTCCGCTAAATACGCACCGCTTAAAACTGGTTATTATCCTTCAAGCCTTGCGCTTAATGTAATTACTCTCTTTCCTTATTGAAAACGGGTTACTGGTGAACTTCTGACCAGCTGTCGAAGAACTGCTGTGAATTAGCTAGGTTACTCTGTCAAACGTTCAGGACAGCGTCAGACAAAATGACTATTTAAGTGCCATATAAAATGACTATATAAGTTATGGCATGTTCTACTTGAACAATTCAGGACATTTACTTTTCTGTTTTACTTTTCTGTCCAGCCTTGTATAGAGTTTAGCAGTCTGTTTTGAACTTGAAGGTTTGTTCTATTGAAAATATGTCCCTGAAAACCTTGAAAGCTAATTGAATGCTTTAGTTGATAGATTAAATCTCGGGCTAAGGCTAAAACAATAGCTTGTTTTGTATTTGCCCTTTTGGATTCAAATCTGAAGCCATTTAGAGGTTTTTTGAAACCTTGACTTTAAGTATTATAGGTCTATGCATTTGATAAACGCTCTTGGATGTAGTTGAATGCTTTTCAGGAACCGTATGAAGGAGAGCATGAAATGCCTCAGCTTGCCAGGGTATATTTTTTATTCTTTTATCTGAAGTGTTTGCCACAGAACCGTTCAGTGAAGCAAGCCTAATATAACCACACTGCTTATGACAAGAACATATGCAAAGGTAACACCAACATGGAAGCAATCAGCACTGAACCGTAAAGGAAGTGTAGAAAATGTTCTAACCATAAAGAAGGTATACTTTCCCACACTTTGATAACGTCTAGCATCATATACAGCACAAATTTAAAGGGTCTGGTTATGACTGTGTTCTTTCATTAATAACGTTGGGTGCAGGTGTGATTATTTCTTAATTTCTCCACAGGGGCAGAAGTCTGAAGCAGAGCATTACTTCCTGAAGGCAATAGAGCTGGATCCTGCGAGAGGAAACTGCTATATGCATTACAGTACAATCTGATTTCCTTTCTGATTGATTTGATTACCTTCTAATTTGTTTAATAAAGTGCTCAATTGCACTTGACATTTTATTTGATAGTGTCTTTAAATATTCCACCATTTATTTATTTTATTTATGAATACATTTAATTTATTTTAAATTTGTATTATTATTATATTGATTTTATGTAAATAATGTATATAAATGTATATATAATTTATAATTCAAGTAAGAATATTATATATTATAAGTTGATGATTATTACAATTACGATTACGATTATTTTTATATAGAGATATACTGATTTTATATACTGAGGTTCACTGTGCCTCATGTCCTCCTTCATCTGCCACTCTCCCTTTCTTTGTCTCTGTGTGTTTTTGGATGCTTGTTCAGCACTGATCTCTGACTGTTTGACCTGTGGGTTTCTGGCCTGCTGTGTTTGAGTTGTTTTCAATCCTGTGAGCTCATCTATGTTTCTTCCTGTCTGTCAGGTCAGTTTCTGTTGGAAGAGTCTCGTCTGGGAGAGGCAGCAGTGATGGCTCAGAAAGCTGCAGAGCTGGACAGTTCTGAGTTTGACGTGGTGTTCAGCGCTGCTCATATGCTCAGGTGTGTGTGTGTGTGTGTGTGTGTGTGTGTGTGTGTGTCTCTCTCAAAGACTCACAGCTACATCTGCAGAGTTTAGTTTCAGGTGGTTTGAAGGTGGACTCCACTTGTTTCATCATCCACATCCATAGCCACTTGACAAATAAATACATAGACATAATGACATTTTATATCGTTAAACACTTGTTGTTGCTAATAATAATAATAATAATAACTTATTGTGTGTGTTTGTCCACAGACAGGCCAGTCTGAATGAGGCTGCTGAAAGGTATTATGGGAAGGCAGCAGATTTAAGACCTGATGTAAGCACATACTTTAGTCATTCTATTAGATGTCATAACGTTACCTAGCAGAATTAATGATTCTTTTTTACATGCATTATTTAATAACAAACATCTCATTTTATGATATTCTTTAAGATTAAAGCACCGTCTTCCATCATATTTGTTGCCTCTACTGTTTTATTTATTTCTAGCCATCCTTATCCTGATTATCTGTTTCTTGATTTCCCAGCATCCAGCAGCTCTGATGAATCTCGGGGCGATCCTCCATCTTAATGGGAAGCTGAAGGAAGCTGAGAGCAACTACCTCCGTGCGCTGCAGCTCAAACCAGACGACTTCATCACTCAGTCCAACCTCCACAAACTCTGGAATGTCATGCAGAAACAGGGTCTACGAGCCTCCGGGACGTGATCCGCTGCTGGAACATGTGCTGATTATTTTCTGCTGATTCAGTGCTTATGGACAGATGTTGGTGGAACTGGTAAAAACTTGAACTAGTCTGGAGGTAGGGAATGAAGAAGGAGCCTCTGTGAAGTGCTGCTTTGGACAGTAAAAACCGCTAAAAGTGTACAAGAATAGTAAAGTGCACAAACACAGAAGAGATGGTTTGTAACATGCTGGATTGTATTCTGAGAGCACTGACCATGTTGTATTTAGGTGATATTTCTTTCCCTACTGAAGTGTCTTTTTTTTCTTTAATGACTTTAAAAAAAGAGTTGAGATTGTCATTATGCTGATATTTAATATGCCTCCTCTTAATTTATTGTTGATCAATGAACAGTTTGTCACTTGTTGTTAATAAAACTTAAATTCTCAGTATCTCCCGTCTCTCAGACCTCAATCTGTTATGAAGCACTATTATGTTGCTTTGTCTAATTTCAGGATTTTTAACCAAAACAATTTACTACAATAAAAATGTCTGTTTGCCCAGAAATAAAGTCATTAAGAATTTTATTATAAGAAAAACAGAATTATTTCTGTTCCAGTAAGCCTTCAACATTGAGACGCTCTCTACTGCTGTAACACGAGAACAAGACACTTGGCTCGTTTCTGGAATAAGTGTTTTGCTGCCATCTATTGGAGGACTAACGCATTGCAGTAAGAAATGCACCTTGCGGCCTGTCATTAAAATAAATAGTTTTTTGCTGCCATCTTGTGGTTGAGTAACACATTGCTACATTCAACGCACAAACCCATGTACTTTAATATTGACACGCTCTCTCCCCCTGTCCTAACACAAACACAAGATCCACAAGACATTTATCAGCTCGTTTCTGGAATGAGGGTTTTGCTTCCATCTATTGGAAGACTAACTCATTGCAGTATGGAATGCACCTTGCAGCCTGTCATTAGAAATATTTTTTCTGCCATCGTTTGGTTGAGTAAGGCATTGCTAAATTCAACGCACAAGCCCATGTGCTGTTATTTTTACAGTAAGACATGGATTTGTGTGATTTTTCTAACAATAAACATAAAAATTGAGTGGGCAATAATAACCATCATCATCATAATTAATACTTAATAATAATGCCAGAATGGGAAAGAAGGTGGTAAATTTCTTAAATGTGTGAGTTTGGGAATTATGTAGTTATTTCTAAATCTCTCTCTCTCTCTCTCTCTCTCTCTCATACCTCCTGAACACATTGCAATGTGATATGTGTGGGGTATAATGTAGTGTTTGTTTTTAGACGTTTTAATAAAGTGTGTTAAAAGTCAAAAGTTTACATAATATATGTTTGTGTACTGTGTATATTTATGTATATATAAATACACACACATACAGTATATATTTTGAAAATATTTAATTTATATATAAATATAATATATATACAACATATTTTTCTTAAATATACACATGCATGTGTGTGTGTGTGTATTTATATATACATAATACATATATACAGTACACACATACTATGCAAACAAACTTTTATTTTGGATGCGATTAATTGCGATTAATCGATTTGACAGCACTTATCCATCCATATCCATATATATATTTGAGAAAATTGAATAAGAAATTGTTATTTGCTGGGTGTCACAATTTAAGGAATGAGGAAAACAGGATGATATGAAGTTTGAAGTGAGCAGTTATCAGTCTCTGTATCTCAGCAGGTGTTGATGCTGTAAATATCCCGGAGTGCTTCCTCTCTCTGAAATCTTTAGCATCTCCTGTATGATGTGTGACTATTTTTGCCTCTGGCAGGAGTGTGTGTGCGTATCCTCACTGAAGAGTCTCTATATGGAAGAGGAGGAGTTTTTTTCAGCTGTGACGTTCATTTGATATATATGGTGAAAATCAGAAATGCCTCCTCTGATTTGTCACTGAAGTTGTTTGATGAGTTCCTCTGTTCTGTCTAATAAGGTAATGATGAACTTGATTGGAAAGTTTTGGCACATACTCTCTCTTTAGGGAGCTGACAGGAGCCAGTTTCTTCAGAGTGTTTGAGGGAGCTGCGAAGAAACTTGTGCTGCATTTTGAGCTGATGAAATACTTGAGCAGATGGAGAAGATGAAGACCTGTCTAATGCTGATGTTTCTGATAAAACTCATCACCTCTGGTAGGTTTATACTTTGAATCAAGGAGTAAAATAATCTCAAATGAAACATTAAGCAATTATATTATGCTGCTGCTGACTGTCACACATTATCTACAGTACATTATTTAACCGTTTATTAATATATTTATTAGATATAATTAGCTGTATTTTCCCCCTTTTTTTCTCCCTCTGTTTTCCCATTCTTTCCCCTCCAATCTTGTTCATTCCTTCTTTCAATTAATCTGTTATTCATCTATTGCATTAACAGACAGTGTAAATGTGAGGTTGGTTGGTGGTCACAGTCGCTGTGCTGGTAGAGTGGAGGTTCTTCATAGAGGTCAGTGGGGAACAGTGTGTGATGACTGGTGGGATTTGGTTGATGCTGCAGTGGTGTGTAGAGAACTGGACTGTGGAGAACCTGTAGATGCTCTGGGTGATGCTCATTTTGGATCAGGAACAGGACCGATCTGGATGAGTTATGTCATGTGTACTGGATCAGAGTCTACGCTGAAAAACTGTGGCTCATCAGGATGGGGTAAAACTCACTGTCTTCATTCTAAAGTTTCTGGAGTCATCTGCTCAGGTGAGCTGTTCCAAATTACTACATCACTCTCTAATATTTTTCTCTGATATTAGAGTCTAATAAACTCTAATATTTTTTAGGTTGTACATGTATACCAAAAAAAAAAAAAAAAACCAATCTTTATAAGAT